GACACAGCAGTTCAAAAAAACAGTTCCGGCAGGGCCTTTGGGATTTGGGGAGAATGAAGAAAAATGAAATGGGTGGGTTCCTGTAACAGATGAAGCCAAGACCCAAGCAGCTCAGGCCACGACGGTCTTCTCCTGTGTGCTTCTCTGCGCAAAGCGACACGGTCTAACAGGCGATGTGCTTTGGGAAACAGATGGGTGGCTGTCAGGCCCACAGGGAGCACCAACTCTCTGCTAACACGTGCTGGATGCCTGGCAAAGGCCAGGCACTGTTCCAATGCTTTAAAGTCCAGCTTAACTTATAAAATCCACAAAGCCATCCTGTGACATCAACACTATTGTTATACCCATTTAACAGATGAAAAAAGTGAGGCAGTTTGTTCCAGTTCACTAAGGAGTTGTTTTTAGCCACGCTTTGAATCCAGGGAGTGGGACCCCAGTGCCCATCCATGTAGGCATTCAGTAGAGACAAGTGTTCAGAGCAACCCCATTGAGGGGCATGCCTGTCTGATCTGCCTTTACAATGGTCTTTACATTTTAGTTTGCACAAAGGCATGGAACTAGGAATGGTAACACTGTCCCAAGTATTTTACAGATAATAGTTCAGTTAATCTCCATTCGAAGCCTGAAAGTATGACTATTATCACCCCCATTTTACAGATGAGGAGACTGAGTCACAGTGAGCGTAACTAGCTTGCCCAAAGGCACAGAGCTAATCAGTGGCAGAGCCGGGATTCAAACCCGGGCTTTCTGATCTACAGCCTTGCTCCTCATCTCTGTGCTGCAGGATGAGCTACTTCTGTGTAGACGTGTTGGCTGTTTGTTCCATGTCAGGCCTTGTTTTAATTGCTTTGATTGAATCATCTCGTGTGAAGTATCCCAACACACTGTCAGAAAGAGCCTGGGAAGTAGCTAGTGTCTTAATCTGACCTCAGGTTTCCAAGCGCACAGAGCAGAGTGGTTGACAGAGGAGTTCTGGAATCCCGGTGACCAAGGCTAAAGTCCTGGGTGTGCTATTTACTGAGCTCAACTAGCTTTCTATCCCTAATTTCGCCACTCCCCACTGCCATCCAACCACCAGAGAGAGTTAGGGGAGATGGAAATGGAGGTCACACTCTCCCCAGAATGATGAAAGCCTCTGAGAAGCCCCGTTTGGGGGTGGGGGGAGACATGCGCTGCAGGTAAAGGGCTTGGGGAGCCAGAGGGGCGTGATGCCCCCAATCGGTGGTCCTCAGAGCGGGAGTCCCCAGGCCGGCAGCATCAGCAGCACCTGGGAACTTGTTAGGGATGCAAAACCTCCAGCCCAGCCCTGGGCCTGCTGACTCAGCAGCTCTGGGGTGAGGCCCGGTGTGTTTACTTTGAATGAGGCCTGCAGGTCAACCAGATGCCCACTGAAGTTTGGCAGCCACAGCCCTAGGAGGCATGGGAGATATGGCCCCAGCACAGAGCAGGATGTGGAGGGCCATTAACTTGTGGCCACGGTAACAATGTGGATTGGCTCCTTTCAGGAGTTAGAGCAAATTCAGAGCTTTCCAGGTGGGAGCATCACTGCCCCTTGCATTCTGAGTGGAAAGAACTGGGTGGCCTTACAGAAGCAACTGGAAGAGCCAATTCCCCAGTGACCAGTGGAGGCAGGGCAGTGTATGAAAAGTTCAGACCAGCCCCCTCCTTTTTGGTTGCTTTGGGGCCCCCAGAGGGCAGGGACTGACCCCAGAACCCTCACTCCCTTGGGTCACACACTCAGGCTATCACCCCGCCCCAGTCCTTCGGTGGCTGTGTTCCCCCGGGAATCCCCTTTCCCTCCCTGTGTGTGGTTGGCCATGAGAATCATAGAACCCACCAAGTGGCCCTGACCCACACTCCGCCCTCTGGGATGACCCCGAGCCCCACAAACATGGCACTGCAGGAGCCCGGGCTGCAGCAGCTAGAGAAGAATCAAAACCGCAAGTCCTTGAAGATATTCAGCCAGCCAGCAGCTGTGCAGAGGGCACCTCCTGCAGAGGGCCCTGCACCGGGGAAGGGGTGGAAAGTACTTATCCCACGGTCACTGCTTTCAAGGGGTAGATGAGGAGACAAAACAACAGCCCACCACACCTGCAGAGGCAGACAAGCCTCAGGGACGCTGTACAACAGACCGTGGCGCCCGGCGGAAAGGATGTACCAGGCAATCAACAAGGTTAGGAGTTGCGAGGATGGAGATGCTGTTGGAAGGCTCTGTGGAGGAGGAGGGACCCGAGCTGAGTCTTGGAGGATGAAGAGACAGACAGAAGTGGTGGTTACCCCAGCAGAGCGGCCAATGAGGAGATGGCTCGGTGTGAGAAAGGGCAACACATGTGGAGCTGGCACGTCTGTCACCAGGAAGGGCAGGACATTTGGCCAAGGTTGGAGGTACATTCAGCCTCTGTATCCACAGTTTCCTCTAACCGCCAACAGACAATATTTAGGAAAAAAATCCTGAAAATTCCAAAAAAGCAAAACTTGAATTTGCCCCATGCTTGGCAACTATTTACACAGCATTTCCATCGTATTGGGTGTTACAAGTAATCTAGAGAGGACTAAAACATACGGGAGGCTGTGCATTGGTTATACACAAGTACTACACCATGTTATAGAAGGGACTTGAGCATCTGAGGATGTTGGTCTCTGCGGGGCTCCTGGAACCCATCCCCTGCAGATCCCCAGGGACAACTGTCTGTCTGGAGGCATGGGAAGAGATGAAGTTTGCCGCCAAATGGTCAAAAACCTTGGAAACTAAAGAATTCTAAATAGATTTTATAGGCCAGGGTTCCCCAAAGTGTAAGTATATTTCTCAGAAACTTCTCTTTGTAGAATTATTAAAATTCTGTTACGGGACTCAGTGGGTTCCAGCACCAGCTCCTACGTGGGGAGGGGACACCAGCTGGGCGTCCTGCATTCAACTCGTTCTGACGCTCTCCACCCAGAGATACTGTCCGATTCCTCAGGTTAGGGGCTCAGGCCTACAAGACTGTCCCCCTGCGCTGTGTTGTCACCTGTCCTTCTGACCGACTATAAACCAGAGGTTCCCACAACCTTCTCCTCAGGTTCAGTTAGTTTGCTAGAGCAGCTCGCAGAACTCAGGAAAGCATTTTACTTCCCTGATCACCAATTTATTATGAGAGGACGGAAGAGTTGCGTCGGGCAAGACTTGTAGGGGCTCGGAGCTGCCACACCCTCTCCGGGCGCCACTGTCCCAGCACCTCCACGTGTTCACCAACCCAGAAGCTCTCCAGACCCCACTGTTCTGATTTTTAATGGCTGCTTCCTTCCAAAGGCACACGGATTAAGTCCTTGGCCACTGCTGATCGACCTCCAGCCCCTGTCCCCAGGTCAGGGGGCTGCGACTCAAAATTTCAACTGTCTCATCACACAGCTGGCTCTTCTGGCAAAGAAAACCCCAACCTCAGTGCTTCCAAAAGTCACCACGGTAACACAGCAAGAGACCCCTCTGAGGCGCCCCCACCGAGGAGACCCCGGGGGCTCGGGGAGCCGCCCGCCGGACACCGCGCGAAGCCCAGGCACGCATTTCTCGCCGTGCACAGGCAGCTTCCCCGAGGCCCGCGCCGGCGTGACCCTCGCGGGGAGGTGCTGTGTGCCGTGTTTCCGGACGTGTTTCAGCACAGAGCCCTTCTCCCGGGGACCAGGGCTCCGGGCAGCGCCCCCCGAGGCTCTCGGTGGGGCTGCGCCGGCGGCGGCGCCCCCGGGCTCCGTGCGGCCCGGCGGAAGCAGTTACCGCCCAGCCGAGCCCAGCGGCTCGGCAAGCCTGGGAGCAACTGGTTTCCGCTGTCGCAGCTGAATTCTAAGTGTCAGCGGCGATGAGGAGGAACAGGTGGGAGGAAGAAGGAACGACGTGCTTAGACATGGAGGTGGTGAGGGGTATCGGGACACTGAGGGGATGCGGCGGCACTGGGGGTGGATATCAGGACGCTGAGGGGATATGGAGGCAGTGAGCGGATGTGGGGGCTCTGAGGGGGAACAGGGCAGCAAGTGGTCAGGAACAGAAGAGAGATTGGAAGGAAACCCTCACTTCATAGTGGAAACAACCTGCACCTGTGGAGGGGCTCGTGGTTTATAAAGTATCTTCTTTACAATCCCTTGAGGTGGGGAAGGAAAATTATCCCCATTTTTCTTGGTTTGAGGAAATCGAGACTAAGTGAAGTAGACAGGTGTTTGTCTTTACACTGTCCCATGTCCGACCTCTCTTCACTCTCAGGACTTGCTAGAGGTGACATGGGACCATCAGCGCCCCAGGCAACAGCGGCAGGGATGCCTGTACCAGCCCAGGCATCAGCCCCGACCATGCTCAGCGCCCGACCTGGCTTTGGTAACAGCTACAGAGCCCCTGGAATGCCGTTTTTCCTGCCCCTCTTCCAAATCTGGCCCCCCAGCCTTCCCTCCTGCCTATGGTGTAAGCTACCCCATCTCCCTCCATACTTACCTCTTCTAAGTTAGCCAGAGTAGGTTTCCATGGTTTCCAAGAAACATGACTTGGATGAGAAAGGTTAAGTGTGGGCATGAACTTCCATCTCTAGATTAAAATTCACATCTTCCGCTGTGCCGGGCTGGGACATTGAAAAGTGTGAATTGGATTTTAGTCTCAGGATAATGTCAGCGATGAATGTCCCAAGTGGGAATTTCCAGTAGGCATTTGCAGGACTAGAATATGGGATAGAAGTCAAGGTAGAAATATGGATTTAGGAATCAATTCCACCGAAATCATGGATATTAATGAAATAGCTTGTAACAGAGGTCAAGTTGTGACCACAAGTACCAAAAGTACTCTGCTGATCAGGTGAACAGATTCGTTTGGAAAGTCGTAAGTTTTGGAAAGAGAAGAAACAGGTTGGCAGAGGAAATAGCAAAGGTAAGACATTTGAGAAGACTTAGAGGTAGATCACACCTATGTTTAGAGAGGCAATTTCTTAATATAGAAAGGAAAAGGGAAAGGAATATAAAAACAAAACTTTCACTCAACAATATGTACTTGTATGATCCCATTTTATTTTTTTTAATGTATATAATTGTATCAGAGTCTGCAAGGATCGACTTCAAACATTTCCAGTGATTATCTTTGGATGCTGCAATAACAAATTTTGTTTCCCTGTTTTCTTATTTTTCACATTAAGCATTCATTGATTTTTTTTTTGCAGATATAATTCATAAACCATAAAATCCACCATTTTTAGAGTGTACAATTCAGTGTTTTTAAATATATTCACAGAATTGTACAACCATCCTCACTGTCTAATTCCAGAAAATGTTCATCATTCCCAAAAGAAACCTAGCGCCTACCCCTTAGGCGCCACCCCCGGGGGCCCGCCTTTGCTCCCAGCCCCAGGCAACCGCTAATTACTTCCTGTTTCTATAGACTTGTTTATTCTGGATGTTTCATATGAATGGAATCACGCAATATGTAGCCTTTTGTGACTGGTTTATTTCCATCAGCGTCATGTTTATGTAGGTTGGAGCATGAGGCCACCTCACTGTTGCTTGTTGGCAGATGAAATTCCACTGCCTGGCAGGTCTGCATTCGGTTTATCCATTCATTAGTTAATAGACACTTCAGCTGTAGCTTTCCACCTTTTGTCTCTTGTGAATAATCTTACAATGAACACTTATGAACAAGTTTTTGTCTGGACACCTGTTTTCAGTTCTTTTGGGTGTGTACCGTGGAGTTAGCCTCCTGGGCCACATCAGTGTTTACCTTTTGAGGATCCACTAAAGAGTTTGCCCAAAGTTCTGCATCCTTTTACATCCCCACCAGCAATGTACGAGGGTCCTGGTTGCTCCACACCTCCCTAACACCTGCTAATTTGTTAACATCACTTCTTAGAACAGACAGAGAACACAGGTGCTAAGTAAGGGGGCCCAAGACACTTTTTCCCCAACAAATTTAATCCTTTCTGTGACTTTTCCACAGATGAAATATGAAGCATGCCAAGATTCTCTGTAGTAATAATGAAAGAAAAGCTGGCACTTATTGGATTCGTATTTGGCCTCTGGGTGCATTAGTGCAGAATTCTGTGCATGTATCGTCCCATTGAGTATTTACAGAAAGCCCGGAGTTTGGAACCTATTCTGGCGGTGAAGTCGAGGTTCAGAGGTGACGTGACTTGAGAAGTGTCAAGACACTCCCCCAAAGCCGAAATTCTCAACCATGCGTTGTGACATCCCAAACCCCCTCCCTCCTGCTGAGTGTTTCTGGCTGTACACCACCATGTGGCATTTACATATTTCCCCAAAGGGAAAAAAATCTTTCTCGAGATGATTTTTCACAAGTAAGTCAGGTACAATTTATCATGCTCTGAATGCTAACAAACTCTGGAGATGCAAAACCTACAGCTGATGTATAAATAATCTGACTCAGCAGTATAAACATTAATCCAACGCCTTTTGGAAAAATGAACAACCTTGTTTCTCTGAGTTGACGGGATACTTTCTTCTCTCCTTTTGGATCTTTTATTGGCTCATCAGTGCCAGGAGGAATGGGTTCTAACACTGATGAACCCTGAGAAGGACTTTGTAATCAAACAAATCTCAAGTTAGCCATGCTTTCAATTTTGTTTAGAACTGAGATTTTTTTTTCCAACCGTGCCCTGTTTCCCAAAGAAAGCATGGTAGCTTTTGCGTTAGAAAACGCATTCACTTCTGTGATTTCAAATGACAGCAGAACCAGTTCTGTTTGCAGCTAGCCACCTTCAGCTCCTGAGATGGACCCGTGGAGGAAGAGGTATGTGAATAAGATCTGAATAAAGCACTTTATTAGATCTCAAGGAGAATCAGTGGAATCTAACGTCGTTTTCCTGGCATTGCATCAGTGAAGTGGGGTTGTTAGGGAGGCGTTACGCTCTCGTCTTCTCCTGTTGGTTTGAAGCTTGTTTTGTGCTAGTGGTGCTGCTGGTGGACTTGCCTCTGCGTCATTCTGTCCGAGGACTGATTGTCCCGCATCCCTGCTGTGACCATAACTTAATGCTCAGAGCACCTGGGGCGACAAATGGATGCTATGTCTTATTTTTATTGTCTGTGCTTTAGACATTTTAACCTGGAAAGATTACGTGGCCCGAGTCACACACTCAGCTGCACTTGGAAGGCTGGTCCACAAGGCTGAGCCTTAATGTGCTTAAACTCAGGAGAAATCAGGCGGTCGTAGGCTCACCCACTATTGCTCTGCTGGTGAAATGGAGGCCAGTGGGGTAAAGGGCTGTTATGGGCTGAATTGCCCCCCTGCCCCCTCCCCCGGATCCATATGCTGAAGCCCTAACTGCTCTCCCCACCGCACGTCAGACTGTGACTACATTTGGAGATAGGGCTTTAAAGAGGTTAATTAATTTAAAATGACATGATCAGGGTGGCCCTAATCCAACATGACTGGTGTCCTTATAAGAAGGGGACATTTGGACACAGACGGGCACAGAGGGAAGAAGATGTGAAGACACTGGAAGGGGATGACCACCCACAGGCCAGGAGAGAGGCCTGGAGCAGACCCTGCCCTCACAAGCAACCAGCCCGACCGGTGCCTTGCTCCCACATTTAGAGCCTTGAGACAATAAATTTCTGTTGCTTAAGCTGCCGGCCTGCGATACTTTGTTACAGGAGCCCGAGCAAGCGAACAGTCCATGAGGGATCAGAGGCCCCCGCCCCCTGGCCCCTGACATCCATCGCGATGCTCCAAGGTGGTGCCTCTGAGGCTTCCTGTGTGAAGCCCCGAAACCACAGGCATGCCTGCCGTTTGGTGCTCACAGGCCTCGTGTTTATTTCAGATATCACAGAGGTCAGTGTCCTCTTTGGTCAGGATGTCATCCCCCAGCAGATCTCAATGAAGGATTTGGAATTCGAGCCATCTGGTTGACCGGTGTGCAGCTGCGCTGACATCCCACCTTCCTGGGAAGAAGTTGTGCCCACTGCCACATTTTGTTCTGACATCCTGTGATTTGGGGAAAGAGGCCTCTGCGCTCTTGTAAAGCGCACGGTTCCACCCCAGGGGCGGAGTCCTGCCTCCCCGCTGTGAGAGAGGCACACGCTAGCTTTTTCTGAAGGAGGAACAGAGTGAGGAGGCACCACGTGAAGTGTTTCCCAGTCACCGCCTCACTCAGTCTTCACAACCTCCCTGTCAGGAAGCTACCATCACCTCCTCCATCTGCTAGACGGGGAAACTGAGGCACGACAGGTTAAGAGCTCACCCCAAATTCCACAGCTCACGAGCCGGGGAGACAGATTTGCCTTGCGGTCTCTGACTCAGGCCTGTGCTTTTGGCACCTCAGAATACCGAGACGGGACCAGACCACCCTCCTCCTGACAGGCGCCCCACGTCCCCGGGTGACAGAGCGGAACTGGCCCAGGGAGGCCCTCCCCAGCTGGGGCTCATGGCATTTTGTCTCTGGAAGCTTCAGACTCCACCGCCCCAGGGCTGATGGTGGGCTTTCCGGGGGGCTCTCGAAAGCACCCCTGAAAGGGTGGTCCATGGAGGGAAGACCTCGAAAGCTTGGTCGCTGCTCCAGGGTGAGGAGACAGAAAGCGAGGGTGAGCAGAGTGTCCACACCAATTCAACAGCAACAGTAGGTCGGTGGAACCCAATCATAAAAAAAGAAATGAGCTTGTATTTTGTACAAGAATCTCATTTTTCTCAGCACATGTCATACCTCATTGCAAATAAGAAAACTGGTCCTTCACTGCAGACATTGGACAGTGCTGCCCAGAGGCCAGCATAACTGATGGAGGCGACACAGAGATGACGGGGAGACACCGAGCCCAGGCATCACAGGCTGTGTCTGCGTCTCCCTGGACCCAACACGCTGAAGCCCTGACCCCCAGTGTGATGGATGGTACGCAGAGATGGGCCTCTGGGTGGGCATTGGGTTTAGGTGAGGTCATGAGCATGAGGCCCCCGTGATGGGGTGAGTGTCCTTGTAGGAGGAAGAGACACCAGAGCTCTCTCTCCGCCATCTGCAAGCCAAGAAGGGAGACCTTGCCAGGGACCGATTGGCCAGCACCTCGATGTCAGGCTTCCAGCCTCCGGAACTGTGGGAAGTAAACGTCTGTGGTTTAACCCCCCAGGCTGTGGCACTTTGTCGTAGCAGCGCGAACGGACCAAGATTCTGGCTCTGCCACTCACAGCCCGAGGAGCCGAGCTGGCAGCAGGGTCTCCTGCCACCCAGGGCTTCCTCCACGGGCAGCATTTCTTCCCTTGGGTCTTCATCAAAATCGGTGTGGGTTCCCATGACACGATGTGACGTAACATGACCAAGCCGGTTCTCCAGGACACAAGATGCCCCGGATGCATCACACCCCATACCCTTCCTGCTGCCGGGCTTGGCGGCCGCCCTGCCCTCTGGCCACCCCGCAGGAAGGGAGGACGGGGCTCACGATCCCATCCCACCCACAGCCAGGCCCACCCCGAGGTGGGACTTGCAAGCTCTTCTACCCCTCTCCTCGCGACCTCAGAGTTCCTTACAGCAATCATTTCCTCCTCTTTGGTATCCATGGGAAGTTCCATTTTTCTGCATTGGTAAAATAAATTGGTATCAAGAACAAGACCTTTTCTGTATAAAACAACCTGCTTGAGACTTATTCTTGTTGTTGTTTGAGAGAAAGGTCCAGACACTTTAAAGGTTTATGAACAGCCCTCCTGGCTCTTGTCAGCAAACGGAAGCCTGCGGCTCCCGGCATCATTGCTCGGTTATCCTGGGAGAGGTAGGTCATGGAAGAGAGGCCCGGGAGGCTGGGGGTGAGGAGGGGGCAGCAGGAGACTGGCCCTGCTACTGAGGAAGGTGCCCTTGGGGGAGTCCGGGACCTGCCCTGCGCCTGGCTCCCCACGAGGGCTCGGGGCTCTGTGACCCCACACTTCTTGATGAGGTCACTTTCCACAGAGGCTATCCTGTCCTTTCGATAACCAAACAAGCAGCCAAAAGACCTGAAACCAGCCCCCCGACCCCACCACCCTCTTCACTCTCCAGGCTGTCCTGTTAACAGGAGAGTAGGGAGAAGAGGCCCACGACGAACAGCCAGTCCTTAGAGAGAACATCACGCCCAGGGGCTGGGGGGACGTGGCTTCAGCCTCCTGGGGTTCCCAGCAAGTCTCTGCTGTGCCGCAGGCTGCATCTGGCTTCCATCCAGGGCCACTTCTCTCCTGCCCAACACGTGCCCGTGGTTTCCATCGTCCTCACGCCACTCCCGCTCCTGGAGGGCCCCTCCTCCTTCCTCCCCTGCATCCCGCACACTCCTCCTCCCATGACCCTGGTGCTCCTGCCCCCTCCTTCCGCAAGTAACTGGTGTTTACAGCGGACAAAGCACATTGGTCAAATCCTTGCGATACTGGTGATGTGTTGGCTTCTGAATGAAAGTCACCAGATCCAGGGAGCTGAGTGTAATTTCGCCCCGGGTCCCCTGTCTACCCAGTGCCACTGCAGTCAGAGGGGCCAGGGGACATCGGACGTTTATGAACACACAGTACCTCCTGTGAGCCTGGCAAACCCCGTGAGGCAGGCTGGTGGGGGAGTGGGTAGCTCCCTTTTATAAACGTGGAAAGTGAGGCTCTCTTGGATGCCTGGGCACAGATTGGATGCCCTGGGGTGTCCACTGGTCTTAAAAGAAAAACAAGCGCAGGCTGGTCCGTGCTGACTCAGGGCCAACGCAGAGCCACCAAGAAGTGGAGGTGAGGGGGCTCAGCCCTGATCTGTGGGCTGCCAAAGCCCCTCTCCTCCACCAGACCTCCCGCTCTGGCCTCTGCCCTTACCCCTCTGGAGGTGTGGCCCCTGGGATGCCGGAGCAGTTAGGGAAGGTGGGCACCTGGAATCCAGTGAGGACTGTAGCAGACACGAGCCTCCGGGACGCCCATTGGAGGAGTTGGATCCAGACCAGGAGAATCAGCTCCCCACCTGGAAGCCACAGAAGGCTTGCCCCTCTGCCAGACAGCAGATCAGAGGCAGCTGCCCAGTTCCACCCTGGAAGTGTGTGTAGGAGTCTGGTTGGGTTGGGATGGGTTGGGATGGCCCAGTGATGTGGGTCTGGATACTTAATGGGTGGAGAACACTGACAGGTCAGTCCTGCCCCAAATGCCAGGAGGGCCCCCTGAAGAGTGGAGAGCCAGCTTCTCCTTTTGCATCTGACCTCTCACTGCTGTCCTGACGCTGGCCCCCAGGATGCTGTCCAGCGCTCCTGGGGCCCCTGGCCTGCTTTCAGGCTGCTGGAGAAGCAAGGCATTCAGAAACGCGTGACCAGCCGGCTCTGGGCTCCAGGCTTTTAATCTCCTTAATTGAAATTGATTGGCCTCTTGGGAGGCAGCTCTGCATTGGCCCTGAGCTTCAGCACGTGATCAACTCCTGCTTCGTTCTTTTAAAGACCCATCAACACACCAGGGCATCTAATCTCCCTGAATCCCAGGCCCCTTTCCTGACCGGGAGCAAAATCAAAAACAGGCACACTTAACAAAACAACCCAGGGAATAAAAGCGCCTGATAAAAATAAGGGGGAAGATGCCCGTCCCACTGTGGCTCAGCATCGTACAAAAGGCCAGCCCAACCCCACGACCGAGAAAAGATGTAATCACATGGGGGGAGCAGGGGGGCGGGGGGGGGCTTGTGCCTGCTGTGGCTCCCAAGATAAACAGGCTGGACTGGAGCATCTCGAAGAACTGGCTGCAGAAAAGATAAAAAGGGAAGAAAAGTGAAAGCCTGTCTTAAGTTAAAGAAAATCAAACATCGAGAGAACAGTTTGAGCGTCCAGATTTGTGTTCCTCCAGACACACAACAGCAACCCCCCCGCCCCGCCCAAGTGTCTGGAGCTGGTTTACAAACCGGTTTGGCAGGTCATACCTCGGAGAAACTCCTGATAGGGCCCCTTCCTTACCAGGCTGATCACATAGCCAGGAAATAGTCCTCTGGGGGCTCTCCTGTGGAGCCGGTGGTCATGCCAACAACTGGCCGCTGGGCTTGAAAGGCGCTGTGCTGGCGGACTCAGGTCACCTAATGGCTGCCAAGCCCCGGGCTCTGTCCCTGCATTGGCCACCTGGGGGGGCACCAGGACACAAGACACATCTTAGAGGTAAGGAAACACAGCACTGATAAGTCAGGTAGTCATTAAGAGGGACAAAGTCATCGTAAGAACGTCTTTCCAAAAAAAAAAGAACGTCTTTCTCCCTGATCTGCTAAAGATTAAGTTGAAGGGACCAGGAGATGCCATCCCCAAATATGTCACTTTGGCATAAGGATTACTTTCAACTGGTAGGAAGTGAGAATCAACAAGATATAGGAAGAATCCTCTTCTCTCCCTTTTTCTTTTTCTGCCTAAAAGCAAGGCATAAAATTCCCTTTGCGAAGATGTCCCCCTGTCCTATACTAGAAAGGGAAGAGTGACTCTTATCACCAGGACAGAATCAAATCTCCATAAACAGATCTTATTAAAATATCCTTATGGGGCAGAGGGCATAGCTCAGTGGTAGAGCGCATGCTTAGCATGCACAAAGTCCTGGGTTCAATGCCCAGTACTTCCATGAAGTAAATAAACCTAATTACCTCCCTCACCTTGCAAAAAAAAAGAAATGATTTTTTTTAATTTAAAAGAAAAACAAAAACCCTTATCTTCCATCAGTTTCCCCCTTATATATCCTAGTCACTTCTCCACAATGTGTTGTCCCTTGAAGCTCAAGCCTCCTTTCCTTTGTTGAAGATGGTCTATAAATCCCCAAATTGAGTCTAACAGCCTGTTTGAGTTTCACTCTCTTCTGTGAACTCCGTGCATGTAAAACATTAATAAAATATATCTTCCTCTTCTCCTGTTAAGCTTACTTCTGTTGGTTAAATTTGCAGGCCCTCAGGTACTGGACCTAAGAGGGTAGACGAAAAGATTTTCCTCCCCAAGTCCACAGAATCAGATTTTAAAAGCAGAGATCCAGCTTATTTGCTGTAGAAAGCTCCATTTTCAAATAAATTCAAGTTGAAAGTGGCTCTTAATCTCCACTTTGTCCAGCAGCAGGAACACGACCCAAGGATGCATCAGAGAGTGAGCACTGTAAAAACAAGGGCTGTGCGTGTCTCAGCCATGGAGCTAGTGTCTAAGGGTGCCCAACACGTAGTAAGCACTCAATAAATATGTTGAATAAGTGAATAAATCCATGGTTGGATGGATGGATAGATGGATGGATGGATACTGGATCAAACAGGGCTGAGGAAGGGTAATAGCTCAGTGGTAGAGCACATGGTTAGCATGCATGATGTGCTAGGTTCAATTCCCAGTACTTATATTAAAAAAGAAAGAAAAAAAAGGAGAGACACAAATAGGGTTGAGCAGCTGCACCATGCAGAAGGTAAAATGGTAGCTTACTGAACACAGGCTCCCATAGAATACTACCAAGACAACCTGTGGATAAAGCAAAGCTCACAGCGGAAGAGAGGTCACTACTTAGTCTTGACAGCGTCTCTAAACAGGGCAGGGGAAGTCAGCATATTCACCTGGTTTAAGGTGTGTGGTTCAGTGTGGGGCTGGTTAGGACTGGCTAAGGCTCATGGGCACAGCAATGTGAGTTCACAGTCATTTGACGCTCTCTGTTGAAAAGCTGAGCAGTTTTAAGTGGGTTTGGGGGAAGTTCCCAAGGCAATAAAGTTATTTGCAATGCTTATCTTCCTGAGCAAATGATTCTGCACTAGTGAAATCACACAGGTAAAAACAGTCGACACGTTAGTGAAGACTGCGTGGTACTAGTCACATTAATGCAGATGGACGGAAGCTCTATGCGTATGGATGGCTTCAGTCCTCAAGCTAATGACCTTTAGTAAACCATTCTCCTTCCACACAATGACAGACACAGAGAAACAGAAACCACGTTTGCTCACAGGAGTACAGCAAACCTACGTGGCTCTAGGGCAGGCAAGGCGGCTAATTTCTGGGTAAGTAGTGCTGACATTTGCTAAACCGACGAGAGACAGGTGACTTGACTATGCCTTTGACTTTGCTATCTGACAATAGCCCCGGGAGGCAGGACCACGAACATAACTTGCAGAGCCCCGTGCAAAATGAAAATGCAGGGTCTCTTGTTCAAACACTAAGAATATCAAATAGTGGGGTGAGCATAGTTTGGTGGTAGAGCGCATGCTTAGCATGCTGGAGGTCCTGGGTTCAATCCCCAGCACTGCCATTTTGAAAAAAAGAAAAAAAAAATCTCAAATAGTCTGGCAGTTCTTCAAAAAGCTAAGCATTGAATTGCAACATGACTCACTCCTAGGAATATACCAAAAAAAAACCCTAAAAACAGGGACTCAAATGCACAACTGTATACCAATGTTCATTGCAGCTGATTCACAATTGCCAAAAAGGGGAAACAACCTAAGTGGCAGATCCTGCTGCTCTAAGTGTGGTCCCTTTGCCAGCAGCGTCAGCATCACCTCAGGGCTTGTTAGGAATGCAGAATTTCAGAACCCACTCTGGACCTCCTGAATCAGAATCTGCATTTTAACAAGAATCCCAGGTATGCCCTTGGCTTCTCTGTCTCTCTTTCTTTTTTTTACTGAACTATAGTCAGTTTACAATGTCACAACAATCTGTGGTGTACAGCATAGTGGTTCAGCCATCCATATACGTACATATGCCCCTTTTCATATTTTTTTCACTATAGGTTACTGCAAGATATTGAGCATTGTTCCTGCAACGTGGACGGACCTGGAGGTCGTCATGCTAACTGAAACAAGTCCTTGGCTTCTCTTGGTGATACTCCTGACTCGTGGCCCAGGCAATCTTGGGAAAACATCATCTAATTTCTTCAATCCAGATCCCGGAGCATCTTTCCCCAGAGTCACCCCTATCCATCCTGGATGTATTGACCAAGCCATTTTCTAAAACACGCCATTCAGCAAGACATGGTGGTGAGCCCTAACTCTACGTCTTCATAATTGAGGGAAACTTTTGCAAAGCACAAAGGGATAATGCTGAATGAATTGCAGACTGGTGGATGGATGTCCCTTCCTCACACTTTTAATTCGTAGCACTGCCCATTAGGATGAACAGAAGGCTGCGTTCCTGCCATAGGTACCTCCAACACACCCTTAAATGGAATAGAAATCTTATTCTCCACAATTCATCTCTTCTGCAGCCAGACAAGCACAGAAAATTAAACAGTGGTCTGTTAAAATAAAAAATACAAAGAAAACTCTTATAGCAGCCAAAAAGCAGAATAAAGACAAACTTAAAAACACAGACACAAACTTTTCCTATTACTGTGCTATAATTAACATCAAGTAGCCAACCAATTTTCCCCCCAAGAAAACAGTATTTCACTCATTGCCTCTCGAGTCACAGATTTTCATGGGAATGGATAAACAAAATGGTGGTACAGACGTCTAATGGCATATTATTCATCCAGAAAAAGAAATGAAGTCCCAATATATGCTACAATGTGGATGAACCTTGAAAACATTATACTAAGCGAAATAATCTTCACATAAAATGATAAATATTGTCTGATTCCACTTACATGAAATACCCAGAATGGGCAAATTCACAGAGACAGAATGTGCACCCGGGTTGTCGGGGACGGAGGGGACAGGGAGGTGGAGGGTTACTGTGTAAAGGGTTTAGACTTTCTATTTGAGGTGAGGAGAAAGTTTTGTAAATAGTGGTGATGGTTGTGCTCAATCGTATGTTTAAAACGACAAATTTCACGATGGGTGTGAGTTTAATCTTTAATGATGGCCAAACACTGTTACATGTATTTGACCACAATAGGAAAGTTACTAAACAAGAAAAATGAAGGATTTCAAGATGGCAGTGGCTAAGCACATGCCAGGCTCTGCTGAGCAGGGGGTCTGTGTGAAGCCAGCTCTGCCAAGAAGATGGGGACCCTCAAATTTACGGCATGCCACATTCTGGAGACTGAGCGCTACATCTGGGTCACTGAAGACCTCCTGAAATCCCCCAGGCTCCAGAGTCCACTGGTGCTCAAACAGGGATGGCAAAAATCACAAGCCCTCACCCTCCCACTGCCACTGGAGCCCCCCCCCCACCTCCCAAAGGTGACATCCAGGATCTAGACCCCAAGCTCAGGAGGCTTCCCAGTGCCAGCCCCGGAGGCGACAATGTTTGCGGGATGTTCCTTCCCTACTACTTGTCAGTCCTGCTACTTTAAGCCCGTGGTACTGTTCACAGGGTGGACGTGCATAGCCAGGGCGCAGAGGGAGCAGAAGTCCGCCTTGAGTCCCTTGATGGATAATGAGGTGACCAGCCACTGCCCCCACGTCCTCACCTGGCGTTCACGGAGCGCGCTCCCGCCGCTCGTGCTTCCCCCTCCGTGCAGGCTGTCTCCCACACTTCTCGGGGCTTCCTGTCACCCTGGGTCCATTAGGCGGGACTGAATGGGGCCCCCTGCAGTGGGGAAGTAGGGGCGGGCTCTAGGGAGATAAAGGTGGATGGGGTTGAGAGGATGGCAGAGAGCAACCAGTGTGGCCAAGAAGGGGCTCTGGCCATGTCGTCCAATTCAATCAGAGTCTACATAGCACACATATTAGGTGCCAACGAGGGGTGGGAGGGGGTTAGAAAGGTGAGCCGGGCATGGCCTGCCCCAGGGAGACTCAGGGAAGATCGCTGGCCACCTTTGCCTTGCATATCTCACGTGATCAGCCCTTGATCTGGGGTTGGCTGAGCAGTGAGAATGCCCTTCTTGCGAGCCCAACCAAACATGGATGCCCACTCGGTGAGCTTCCTCAGTCCTGAGGCCACCCCTGATTCCTCCTGCTTACTGGTGGCCCTAAGCTGTTTCACCTCTGGGTGACCACTCCGGAGGAGGGTGAGGGCTCTGCTGGCTGGCCAAGGGCAGAACCCAAATAGGACGTTGCATGGTAAAATGATAGCAAGGAAGTCTCTGGCTTTGACCCTGTCAACCATTTAAGGATTCTGCAGCCACCCCAGAAGCCTCTGCCATCATTTCTGGGACATCTCCCGGGGGCGTTTCATGGGTACGTGTGTCCTTTCACAACAACCGAGCGCACACCATTTTTTCCAGCTGTAACAATGGTTCCTTA